AAAAAAAAAAAAAAACAACTAAGACATGCTAAATTATAATTTTGTAGTGTAAAGGGGTTGTTTTAGAGAGAACTTCTCAAAGCTAGAATTCCATGTGAGCTACACAAAACACATAAAACTGCCTCTAACCAAAAAGTATCAAGAATTTATGTTTTTAAATAAGCTATGTCATTCATCTTCAATTGCCCTGGGACTACTCTCTAAGGCAACATTTCAATGACAAAGCGATTGTTCTGGAATGTACCTGGGGAAAAACCACCATTACTGGAGGAAGGGAAATATACTGTTCTTTCCCTGAAGACTGGAAAGTACTAAAATCTTTGTAGGCAGTGCTGTTGATTAAGTGTAGTGCTGACCGGGAATGTAAATGGAATCCAGAGAGGATAAGGAACTGATTGAAGGTGACCTAATTTTTCTTAGTGTTTTTTTGGCCAACATCACCTGATAGGGATTTAAAGTCATTTTCATCCTTTCTTGCACAGCACATACAACTGGACAGAAGGACGAAAACTGGGTGTTCAGAAGGGAATGAGTTTTCACAGGTGAGAGTAGTAGATTAGGAAGAATGGATGGCTGAACAGGGAAACCCGAAGCAGAATCAGCAGCCCTCCCACCTCGTGGTCCCTCTTACTGTGGCCAATCAGGATCTGAAGATACGAAATGAGAAAGTCAAGGCATACACAAGTCCTAAACTGTGGACTGCACTTCATAGCATGATGCTTTCTCCTTGTCTGAGGCCTGGGTATGCATTATCATTCCTTTCCCAGTTACCTACACTGAAGACCTACCCAGCGGTTAGTTAGTCATTCGGCAGTCTTCTTGGCCAAATTGGCTGTAACTATAATGACAGGGCTGGGTTCAGCTAACCTTCATAGAGTCTCAAAGCACAAGATAATGAAAATGAACTTCAAAGCAGTTAAATGATTTCTTTCCCAGTGTCTCAGAGCTTTGGGGAGGCAAAGCTGGGCCTCCTGGCCCTCTTTTCTGGTATTTTTTGTCATTGTAAACTAAGGAACTGAGGAAAATTGTACAAATTTATATAAATAGGACATGTCAAAATCTTCAGAAAGCACTCTCAGTGCATGTGGTAGTTTGAACGAGAATGTTCCACAAAGGCTCCAAGAGTCTGAACACTTTGTCCCTAGTTGGTGACACTGTCTGGGGAGGTTTAGGGAGTGTGACCTTGCTGGAGGAAGCATGTACTGGGGGTGGGCTTTAGCCTTGCCCACTCTCAGTCTGTCTCTCTGCTTCCTGAAGATGTGAGCACTCAGCTTTCTGCTCTGCTGCCATGCCTCTCCACCGTGACTGGTTCTTATCCCTCTGAAACTGTAAGCCAACTCTTCCTTCTAAAAGTTGCCTTGGTCATAGTATTTCATCATAGCAACAGAAAAGTAACTAATACAGTGCATTAAGGAATGGATGAAGTAGAAATAGTTGTGTACCTCACCACTGACAGCCCAGCTCCAATGTAATTCAGCAGTGGGTTTGATACTACTTCCGCATCCATCCCGAACCAGCCAAACCTGGAAATTTACAAAGCCACATTGAATTAGAGATTGTTGAAATGTTTTAGAGTAATGTTGAAGAAAATGGATGAGGGGGGGCAGACCCTTGGGTTTAAATCTTAGCTCTCACTGCACTAACTCTAACTTTGGTAAGTTTCTTTTCTACACTGTACTTCAAATCTCCGTGTTAAAGTATGGAAAATGGTGATTTGGGCATGGTGGAACATGCCTATAATCCTAACACTTCAAATGTGAGGAAGGAAGGTTGGGAGTCCAAGTCCAGTTGACATTACACAGTGAGACACTAGCTCAAAAAACAAAATAAAACAACAACAACAACAAAAATCTTCTTGGTTAAAATTCCTAGTCTTTGGCATTCACTTATATTTCTTTTTAAAAATTTATTTATCATGCCTTAACTTTGTTGCCATCATTATAGCTAATGATGGGAAGCCGTCCAGGCACAAGAGATAGGAAAGCAAGGAGAAAAAGCACTGTGTTTGATTTAAAAAAAAAGGATGGTGAGAGATAAAGAACATTAGGGAATGTGTGTGCTGAAGGTTAGTAAATTAGTTTGCCTGACTGTTTTGAAGTGATCATAAGAGTTTTAGTAAGGGCTGGGGAGATGGAGTGATAGCTCAATGGTTCAGAGCACTGGCTGCTCTTGCAGAGGACCTGAGTTTGATTCCCAGCATCCACATGATGGCTAACAACTGTCTACAACTCCAGTTCCAGGGGATCCAATGCCCTCTTCTGGCCTCTGTGGGCATTGCACACATGGGTGTACTTACATACATGCAGGTAAAACACTCGTACACATTAAAGGTTTTGGGGTAGAAGGGGAACCCCTAAAGTTAGGTAAGAGTATTGTTCTCTGTTCTGTTTCTCCAAGCATGACTTAAAGCTCACAAGATGCTGACCATAGGTAGCACACAGTTCAAACTTCCATGGTAACCAGGGTGCTTCCATTCCAGCCAGCCCTGTGTGAGATGAGGGAGCCTGGCAAATGTGGCTAGTATCAACCCGGACAAGGAAGGATCAAATCTGTCACTTTAAACAGCTTAAATTTCCATATAAATGGCCACCTTGTGGCTACTCCAATGGAGAGCATAGCTCTAGACCTGACTGGCAATTTTTTCCTTAAAGGGCCACACTGTTTTAGACTTGTGCCCCTGATCTTCTGCAACTACTCAGTTTTGCAATTGTAGTATAAAAGCAGGCACAGTCAATAATACTTAAATGCTTGGTTACTGTGAACATATCAATAAATCTCTACAAAAATGGCAGAGACTAGGGCGCAGATGGCTGACCCTGATCCAAGGAAGTACATGTACTCTGGAATTGGTACCTCTTCACACCTGGCTTGCTAGCTCTCTGGCCTTCAGCAGCTCAGCCTCTTTGAGTGTCAGTTCTCTTACTGCAGAGTGCTTTTCTCATACAGTTATAGAGAGATGAGGTGAGAATGATTCATATAACATGTCAATAAACTGTCATGCAGTACAGAGAGAGGCAGATGTCAGCTGTGTCTTTTCCTGCTTGTTTCCTAGATATTAATTCTTCACGTTTTAAGTTTTCAAATTTTAGTATTTATTTACTTTATTATTTATTTATATATTTTAATTAATTAATTAAGCCAGGGTCTTTCTTACCATGTAATCTGACTAACCTGGAGCTCACTATGTAGACCAGGCAGGCCTCAAACTCATAGAGATCTGCTTGCATCTGAGTGCTGGGATTAAAGGCATGTATCACCACACCCAGCCTATAATTCATTACTATTTTAAAAATTTTTTTGATTTATTAATTTTTATACTTATGTGTATGAATGTTTTGCCTTCATGGATATAAGTACACTTGTATGTGCAAACCTTCAGAGGCCAGAAGAGGGCATTGAATCCCTTGGAACTGGTGTTACAGACAGTTATTAGGTGCCATGTGAATGCTGGGAACCAAATCTGAGTCCTCTGTAATTAACTGCCGAGCCACCTTTCCAGCCCCAATTCTTCATTTTCTTTACATTGTTTTGATATCCTTTGCTCTGTCTTGAGGAGATGTCTAGATCATTTATTAAGAGCTTCAGACAAATAATAATTAAACATGGCACATTTCATGTACATGCTTTACCAGTCTCAGTTTATACTGAGTATAAAGTATGGGGAAACTTAGTTGAGATAATTTCAGTTGTGTTACCTTGAGCTTGCCCAGCCAGTTAAGGCATTAAATGATCCCCAGATAAGAATTCCAAGGCCTAAACCAATGGTTTTGATAACTGGGACAACAGCAATGTTCCCTGTAGACACAATATGCAGAAGAAATGGATTACTTCCAATAAAACAAATGTATTTATAAGGTAAATTAGTGGTTTTTTTCCTAACTTCAACCAGAGCTTTTGGGTAGACAAATTTAGCAAAGCACACCTCTTCATTTATTAAATAACCATTTTTAGCACTGACTTTATTGTAATTATTAAAAGGACTAAGGATAGTAAAAGTCTTTGGATGATAGTGAATTAGATTCTTGCATAACAGAGTAACTGCACAGGTGATAAAAGTTGACAGTTACCCTTAGGCTTGGGCTGGCACAAGCACTGACAAGAGTCTGCCACAGTATGGCTCTAGAATTTGCTTTCTGTACTCACTGACTTTTCTTCCAGATTTCTACATCCGTTGCTTTATGCTCTGAGGGTCATGCAGGATGAAGTCTATGAAAGTTTTGAAAGCTATCATTATCATGGTTATTACTGAGACAAGGTCTTGCTATGCTACACAGGCTAGCCTCCAACTCCTGGGCTCAAGAGGTGCCCTGCTGCAGCCTCCCCAGTGGCTGCGGCTGGCTGCTCCACCATACCCAGCTCATGACTAGTTTTTTCCAGCTTCTAATTTCTCAGCAACTTGGCCTTAGTTCTGCAATTTCCTCTCAGATGGTTTCATCTTGGATTTGCTACCTCTGTCTCCTAATTTCAGCCATCAACCAGTGGTACATAGATAACTCAGCCTCTCTACGATATTGCTGCAGTCTGGACCTACTTTAGCTTTAGTGTTATTCTGACAGAAAGGCTGCAACTAGATGACCCCCCACGATGGGAACGTTAGAGCCTTTCTGCTCAGAAGACCCCTGGCTTCTTTCGTTTTCCCTTTCGGAAAGGTTCTTTTCCTGGTTTCTTCAATACCACTATCCTCACCATCTACAAGAAAGTCTCTATGTCATCAGCTCCTTCCTTCCCTCTGTGCCCCACACCTGTCAGTTGTTATGATCTATAGTCTTCACCTCTGCGACATTTCTCAAGTTTGTCTCCCTACCTATACCAAGTAAGCTCTACACCTAGAAAGATCTACAAGACTTCAAGGGAGTGGTGCTGATCACCTGTAATTTCATCAGGAGGCTGAGGCAGGAAGATCAAGAGTTCTAGGCTAGTCTGGGCTACATAGTATAACTTATCTGAAAAAATCTAGGGATGGAAGGATGGAGGGAAGAAGGGAGGACAGAGAGAGAAAGAGAGATGAGAGAAGAGAGAGAGAGAGAGAAAGAAAGAGAATATTTTCAGGATGAAAAAATGGTTGCTGTTACTCTTTCTCCATTACACATGATAAACCATCACAGAGAGACATGTAAGGTACAATGATGGAAATACTATTGGAAATTTAAAGATTAACTTTTTTGATCTCTAATTAATGGAGTTTACAAAACTCATTTAATCATTCAAAAACTCAAATTAAGTAACCAATAATATCTCAACATTTTAAAATGTTATTTAATTTCAACCGAAATATTTCTAAAGATCCTTGATATTCAGAATTCTCTTAGTCAAAAAGAGCTTTGTGGGGTAGATTTATATCAAGAAGGGAACCATTTCTGATTAGCTAGCCAAAAGTATAAATTCTATACTTTCAGGAATTGATAAGGCAATAGGAGAAAATGTTTTGTTTGTTTATTCTGTAAAATAATGTTTTTCAAAATGATTATGTGTCTTTATTTTTAAGAAAAAGTTCTGAAAGTGATGTTAGTAAAGATTATTCTTTAATATAAATATCTTTTGATAAGCATGTTGGAGCAAGGTCAGAACATATAAAATAATGAGTTATGCCTCAAAAGAACTGAATAAATTTAGCATAACAATTTTCTAGCAGGAACTGGGAACTTACAAAACATTGAAAGGAACAAATCATGAAATTTCCATATATCTGAAAGGAAAAAATACAGTTACCATCTATTATCTCTGACTAAGGATTATCAGATCACCGTGCTGTTTCTCCCTACTGTGAATATAATTGTGTTGCTCATTGTATTACAGAAATGTATACATTACCTGTTGCCCAAATGCAGCCCCCAACCATTGCAAAAGGCCAAAACTTAGGGCAGTGTAGTATCAAGTTGACCACCAATGAGACCAGCCAAATGGCAGCACAAAGCACCCACTGAAGGAACATTCCTGAAACGAGACCACCTGGCATTACTGGTGCGGACTGATTTGAATATACTCTTGCTTAGGAATATTTATAAGACATTATTTACTAAGTGTGCATACAGTGGGCATGTGACACATTTGATTCTTACAACTACTCTTCATCTCATAATTAACCCAATGTTGGAAACCAAGAAAACAAATCTGAGATTAACTACCCTGGCCAAATAGCTGGTGGTTTGCACAACTGGGTATAAACCCTCATTGCTTGACACCAAAGCCCATACATTGTGATCCTGGTTAATGTTCTATTCTCTCATCTGTTAGACAAATTAAGAATTTCCTACCAAAGAATTCTGGGAAGACCCAGCATGTATCTCCACTCTAATGCCAAACTTACTGCCACATCAAAACAGGGCGTTGAAAGCTTCAGAACATCTCATCAGTCACGTAAGCCTGCAGGGATCATTTCTGCCACCTTGGGACACCAGTAACCATTATTGGCTCACATGGCTGGAGTTTAAGGCCTGTAGTGAGCCAGATTTTATGAGCTTGAGAATTAGACTTCTAGAAGTTCCTCTTTTACTTCCTATGCTTTGAGATGCTCTTTCCACTTATCTGAAGAGGAGGTAGATGAAGCTCAGAGGCAGTCATAACTTCATGTTGCCACTCTGGACTTTCACTTTGGAAAAGTTTTGCTTGTTTCTACTCATGCATTCTCACAGCAGAGGGGAGAAAACATGGCCGCAAAGAGAACAAGTCCTATCAGGCAGGAAAAGGAGCAACTGAGAAGCTGAAAACAAAAAAGCTGGTAAGACTTCCGGCAGGGAGTGGGCGTCACAGCTCAGTGGTAGAGCACTTGATATGTGTGGAGACCCTGGGTTCAGTTTCCAGAAACAAACAGGACTTGCCCAGGGTCACAAACCTAACTGTAAGCTCCATTCCACTCCTAGAAGCTAGACCACTTGTTCTCTTTTGGTTGTTTTTCTTCTAGTTTGCAAGCCTGTCCCAAGTCTAAAGGAAAAGAAAAAGGATAGAAGGAAAAGGATTCCTAATCCTGTTGCTTAAGTAGTATGAAACTAAAGAATTTGGGAGATTATTTAAAATGCTACCCAGAAGTTACCTTCCAAGGGGTATTCACCTGAGTGTCTCCCAACTCTGGCTGCTGGCCTCCAAAGGGAGGGTAGGGCATTTAAATGCAATGAATGGTTTTCCTTTCCTAAAAGTCAATTCACACTGTTTTTGCTATGCTGTGATAAGGGCATTCCTAAAAACATCACAGAAAACCATGCAGTGAAAACCATTATCAACAATGTATCAAAAGATCATAAAAGTCAAAATGTCCTTGAAACTATTTGGGAGCTCTTATCTAATTCCTAAAAGATTTGAGGGTTACCTCTTCAAAGGGAGGAATGTTAGAGTAGAAAAAGAAAGCCCAATTTAAAAGAAAGAAAGAAAGAAACAAAGAAAGAAAGAAAGAAAGAAAAAGAAAGAAAGAAAGAAAGAGTACATGAAGTTGTCAGAAAAAAGTGATGGGGAGATATGGGAGGTGTTGGAGGGGAGGGAGTGGGCATGGATTTGATCAAAACACCTTATAGGCATGTATGAAATTCTCGATAAAGTTTTTTTAGAAGTTACAGAAATAAAAAAATTCATGTAAATTTAAATCTTATTTACAAATAACATAATAAAAGAATTAAAATTAAAATTTAAGAAATTAAAAAATAATCAGAATTACAGTACAGTTTAACTGGTTTAATGATTAAGCACATGAATGCTATAATAAATGCAGCAGTTTAACTTGAAAAGGACTGCACAATCTGCAAGGAATGCAGCTTGTGAATCACTGCAGGATTGTGAAGTGACACCAGATACAGGTGCGGTGTGAAGTACAGCACATATGGTAAACTGGGGAGACACTTGTGGTGAGCTGAGGAAACCTGATGCACAGCTTTGCAGCAAAGGATGTGTGTGTACACATGCACAGGTTTTGGAAGTGTTACACATAGTTCTTAGACAGCAGCTGTTTTCTATGTTTTCCCTCATGTTTCCTTAGAGACAAAATGGATCTAGCAAACACAAATTCGTGTTATACTCAAGTTGTTGTCTGATGTATCAGTCATGCTGAAAACTGATTTTCAAACAAATGTTGAGAATAGACCTGTCTATAACTTACCTAGCTTACAAAAAGCAGATGCAGCCAGCAAGCCTTTAGTAGTACTCACTCTGGGTTCAGTACAATCCTCCTGTCCTGATTTTCTCTCAGATATACCAGCTTGGGTACTATCAAATGATTTATGCAAGTTCTATTCATTAGGCACTAGGATCAATAAAACTTGGTTTTGTAGCTATTACTTTTTAAAGACCAACCAAACCAAACCAAACAAACCCCAAGAAACCGAGTAAGTTTAACATTACCATCTCCAGTATCATATTTTTTAAGTGGTACAAAGTTGGAACCAAACAAGAGAATTGCTACAGAAGAAGAGAGATAGCCGGTGGCCAGGTCTGTTCCGTTGCTGCCCATGGCTGCAGGGGTGGCCGACAGTGAGCTGCCTCACTTTAGATTCCTGTTTTTCAAGAGTTTCTGAAATAAAACCAAAGGGAGAAGTTGGGACTCTGAACAAACTATAATCAGGGCATAGAGTTTGTTGCTACAAAGTACATAAGGCTCCTTTTTGCAGAGGACATTAGGCAAATATCTGTTATGCTCACATAGCATGATCATGCATTCATTTCTTCATTTATTCTACAAGTTTTAAAAAGATTTTTTTTTAAATTTTGATTTATATGTATGTGTATCTGTCTGTGTAAATGTATACCATGGGGGTGCAGGGCCCATGGAGGTCAGAAGAGGGCATCAGACCCCTGGAGCTGGAGTTACAAGTTACAGGTGATTGCGAGCCACCCCCCCCCCAATGTGAAATGGGTTCTAGGAACCAGCTGAAGTCCTCTGCAAGAGCAGCAAGCACTCTGAACCACTAAGCCATCTCTCCAGCTCCCCAACAATTTAATAAGATAGACCTTTTTTTTTTTTTGCCTTCAGAGTTTGAAAACTCTGTTTTTCCAAGATCTGGATCCAATTTTTATTACATTACAAAGATTATTCTCCTGTGAAGTGGACTGATATGATGAGAAGAATTGGGGGCTTGGACTCTGTTTACTTTTATTGGTTTTTATGTCAACCAAATTGGAAAGCACCTGGAAAGACTTTCACAGGAAAGCCTTCATTGTGCTTTACAAGGAAGAACTGTCACTGTATTTCAGCTGTGACTCTAAGGGCACATTTAAGTTGTATTGCTGCTATGGATTCAGAATCTCACTATTCTTTTTACCAGTCGTACACACATACTAGGTGCTAGTTCAAGTATCTTGCCTGGGGGTATTGCTCAGTGATATAGCACACTCTTAGCACATACTAGGCCCAGGGTTCCATCCTCAGCACAATGCACACATAAATAAATATTCTATATCATTTAGAATATTTTGAAACGAAGACAGGAGAAATGCTTCGTGTATCTTGTGAAGTCCAAGGCCCAGCATTAGTGTGCTGCACAATGCAGCCTGCGGAACAGTGTCAGGCAGCCAGGCAGCTCTCCCTGTTGTGCAACCTGGGAGCCCCAAGCCACGTGAAGACACCTGTTTTCATTTAAATTAATCATGTCAGAAAAAAAATTCCAGATCTTCAATCAAGTTAGCTGTGATTCAAGAGTTCAGAAGCCTGGAGAGTTCAGAAGCCTCAAGTGTCCAGCTGCTATCATACTGGACAAGGCAGATTCTAGAATTTCTCATTACTTCAGGAAGTTCTATCAGACATCCCTGCTATACTCATGAAAAAGTCCTGGTTCCCCAGTGCAGGATCAAAGGGCTAGGGAGATGGCTTAATGGGTGAAATGCCTGCTGTGACCCAAGTTCGCATCCCCAGCCTACACATAAATGCTGGGAGTGGCAGCATGCATCTGTAACCGAAGGCCTGGGGGACGTGGGAGGGTCAGGGATAGGAGGATTTCAGGGGCTCACTGGCCAATGTAGCCACAATAGTAGGCTGCAGATTCAATGAGAGACACTGTCTCAAAAAATTAAGTGGTGAGCACGTACACACACACACACACACACACACACACACACACACACCACAAATGTACACAAAAAGGATAAAAAAAATCCGTAATCAAGTCAGATATTTTTCAATGACAGCATTTGAAAAAGATCACTGACCACAATTCATCTTGTCAGCTATGTAAACTACAGAAGAAACAGAACAAAAGTCATTTTATCACAGTGCTTGCACAATGCCATTTTGAATTGAGATTTTTGTATACTGTCCCTCTGGAATAACCCAACTGGAATAGAATTCAGGATAATATAGCCCTTTTCCCTCAAATTCAATGTCATAGTGATAACTTTCTGTGCCTATATATTAATTCAAGCACACCTGAAATCCCTTTCCTTACTATTTTAATGATAAGTATTCAAAGATCCAGGTATTGTTCTTTATGTGTTTTTGTAGAGAATACTGAATAAACAACTACCTACAAAACCTCTTGACAGTGTTACAGAAAGCTTAACTGAAAACAGAAACAACTTCCAAGCAGGACAAGTTTTTGAAAGGAAAATACCTGCTTGAAATATATGTAGTTCCTTAAAAACAAAAACACTGCTGCAAAGAAAACATCTCCAGTGTTAGGATGTAACTAAGAAAGAGACACTGAGGCATATTTAATAAGTAACACAGGCCGTATATAGTGGCACACACCTTTGAACCCAGCACTCAGGAGGCAGAGGCAGGCAGATAGATCTCTGTAAGACAGAGGTCAGCCTGGTCTCCAAAGAGAGTTCCAGGCCAGCAGGGGCCACAGGGAAACCCTGTCTCAAAACAAACAAATAACAACAAAAGTAGCACTAAATAATAGCTGTGCTGATAGGCTCCTAGGAATTTCAAGCCCTGCAGTGGCTCAAGGATGAGGAAGCAGGAGGTGTCCAGAAGGAGGCAGGGTAACCTAGGCCTGCAGTGCTTGGGAGACTGAGGCAAGAGGAGCCTTGGTTCTAGACCAGCTGGGACTACTTGACTACTTAGGGAGACACAGGCAAAAGAAAAAAAATAAGCTATCAGAAGCAGGGAGTATTTGGAAAGCTAACAAGGGGCTGAGAATACAGGATTAGTAGCTAAGAAATCAGTTTTTCCCATTTTAATTAAAACAAGCAAAATAAAACCTTATAAGAACACGGATAGAAGACAACACCTAATCTTTAAATATAGCAAATTATTTGGCTGGAAAGAAGGCTCCACTAAGGAGTAGAAACGGGCACCCCACATCTCACCCCGGATGGAGAGAACAGGAGTGCTAACTGTAGTGCCCACAGCCTCGTTAGAATGCTGAATGAACTTCAGTCAATGTCAGATAAATGATCTTTACAGCATGCAGCTCTGGGCCATTTCAAAAAGCACGTGATCTAATCCAGGTGCACATGGCAATCCCCTGCTACAGGTAAGGATTTAAACCCCAAGGTTTAAATGAGGAACTAGTTATTTCAATAATTTATCATTTCATTTGAAGTTTTCAAAATTCTTCATCTTAAGGAAGTCCAAACCCTATTTTAAGGTTTATTTTTAAGTGCCCACTGATACTTTATGAAACTATGTTCATTCTTAATTCTACTACTCTTGTTTGACTGACTAATATATTTGCTCTACCCTTTTCCCTACTAATTTAAAATTTTAAGCAGTACCCTCCTTTTAAATTAGTATTCAATGTGCTTTGATTAACACCTCTCTCTTTCTGCTTCAAATCTTTCATTTTTGGTTTCATGTTAATTTCCTCCAATCTGCAGACGGCTTCGGCAGTCTCTGGACTAACACCACCAGTATTGGCATGTATTTACTCTGGGCTGAGTTTTTCTTAACCACCTACACGTCCCTCAGCAGTCCCCGGACTCAAGACCGCCAGGCTGGGTCGGTACTCACTGTGCTGGCCGTCAGAACAGAGTTCCAGGCCGGGTCATCCCGCTGCCGGCGCGGCGCCAGTGGAAGACTTCCTGAGGGCGGGTCCCCTGGGAGGCCAGAGTCCCTCCCAGGCGCAGTCTGGGGACAGACTACCAGCTGCGGGGCTGGAGCAGTCAGGTGACTCGCCGAGGAGTCGCCGGTTCGCTTGTCAATCAGCCGGCTAATCAGAAACGTTCTTCGTCTTTAAAGATCTTAACAGGGGGCTTAGCATGTCACCCTGTCTTAAATGCCATAGCTTTATGTGTGCTGTGGATAAAACAAAAAATGAGATATTTCACACGATTAAAAAGAAAATGATAATCACCCAATTTGTCCTGCCCTGCTAGGCAAGTGCTTTGCTGAGCTGCTCTTTTTTTTTTCACTTTTTTATTTTGAGATGGAGTCCCACAGGGTTGCCCAAGATGAACTTACGCTAACTCTCTAATCAAAGGTAGACTTTGAACTTGTAATCCTGCTGCTTCAGCCTCCTCCCGAAGCTGGGGTTATAGATAGGCCTGGGCAACTAAGGCCCAGCATCACAAATTCTTTGCAAATGTATCCAAACCACTTAACTGCATATAGATGTAATGTGTACTAAGTGCCATGTAGGAATGTCACCTACCCAGATTCTGGGTTGCTGGCACACTGCAACGCCCAAAGGAGGTGGCTTTATACTATCCACATACTAGAGCAACTGAAATAAAGTGTGGCTCAGAATCAGTTGCTTTGGAAATTTCCTCCAGGTAGCTTTAACATGAAGCCAGGGTGTTGGTCCTATTCCAGATCAATACTTGCCCATTAGCTGTAAGAATCACTGAAGGAATGAACGAGTCAGGATGCAGATTTCCAACACCTTGATTCAGATTTTGAGAACTATTGCTCTTTGCTCTAATATGTAGCCACAAGAGCAGGAGGCTGTTCCAATTAGAATTTGAAATTTGGTGATTCACGAACTCTGGACCCTCTGCAGCTGCCAATAGCCTTGAGTGCACGACTGAGCACCCTGCAGAGCTCCCCTGGACAGATGTGATTTATGTTGCTCTTGCTGGGTAGCCTTCCTGGTGCAGGTATAGCAGAGCACACAGACAAGAACTTCCAGATCAGATTGGAAGTCTCAGGTCCTGTCCCAGTCTGCATTTAAGAGGCCTCTTGAAGTGATTTAAGCTGAGGCCATGCACTGGTTGGATGGAGGAGAGAAAAGGCAAAAGGATGCTGAAAAATGAGGTTTCCAGGTAGAAGACTTTGCTTTCAACACTACATTCATCAGATTAATCACACGTGAAGGCAGAGTATCGTTTGAAAAATGAAAGAAGTCAAGCCTCCACATTTAAGGGAAATGATTAATTTAGCAGTTCAGAAAGATTTTGAAGAATTACGTTCCCTTTGATGTGCATCCATATTTATGCAGGCACACCTCTGCTTATGGTGTGTGGTTTCGCATTTTTTGAGATTAGAGTTCTTTTTCTTCTCTTCTTTTCAAATTAAATTAAGAGTTTGTGGCAATCTTACATTAAGCAAGTCTATCAGAGCCGTTGTTTCCCAGCATGCGCTCACTCCGACTGTCTGTGTCCTACTTTGGTAATGCTCATGCTGGTTCAGTCATTTTTGTTACTATTATGTCTATTTTGATGATCAGTGACTTTTTATTTATTATTTTTATTTTATGTGTATGAGTGTATTGCCTGCATACATGTGAGTGCACCCGTGTGATGCAATGCTGTGGAGGTCAGACGAGGGCTTCGGATTCCCCTGGAACTGGAGTTAAGGATGGTTCATGGGTGCTGGGAATCAAACCCGAGTCCTCTGCAAGAGCAGTCAGTGCTCTTAACCGCTGAGTCATCTCTCCAGCCCTGATCAGTGATTTTTTTATGATGCTCTTCTAATTGTGTTTGGGTGTCAAACTTCTACCACTTAGAATGGAGCTTTTTCCTTCTGGCGTTAGAGATGAAATTCTGTACCTTTTTTTTTATTTTTAAAATATTTTATTTTTTATTTGTATGAATGTATTGCCTGCATGTATGAAAGTGTACCCATGTCATACAGTGTCCTCAGAGATCAGAAGAGGGTATCAGATTCTCCTAGAACTGGAGCTACAGATGGCTGTTAGCAGCCATGGGGGTGCTGGGAATTGAACCCGGGTCCTCTGCAAGAACAGTCAGTGTTCTTAACCGCTGAGCCAACTCTCCAGTTCTGAAATCCAGGACCTTTGTACATGCCAGGCAAATGCTTACCACTAACTTACCTTCCTACTTTTCTACTTTCCTGACTGTAACTATCAGATGAAAAGTGTGTAGATACTGTCTGTGTGTGGTGGTGGCACATAAAAAAAAATCTGCCTCTTGGAGTTGTTCAACCAAGAGGGAGCCTGCTCTAATCTGAGCTCTGATTTCTCTTAGAACTGTTTTGTCCTGAACAACCTCCCCTCCCTCCCATATTTACTGAACAGCATATCAGTCAGGGTGTGGGAAAGGAATGAGGAACTTTGCCTCCAAGAATCTTTAATCAGAGATTACTAGGGAAGGCATTATTTTCAGACACTACTGACCCAGAACAGCACACAAAACACAAACAGATGTTATCATCCCATGCCCACACGCATTTCTAATACTTGTGGGGATACAATGTTTTCAACATAATTGCTTCTTTTAGCAGTGGTCTTAGGTCTAATTAACATATCTCATGTACACATAGATTGTTCTGAGTCAAGGGCATAGCAGAGTCACAACAGGGAACATGGGGTAAGAGTAAAGCTAGGCATTAAGTTTAGTTTATGAGTTACTTATATCAGACATTGTTTTTCTTAAAGGCTGATTAAACAAGCTCAGTATACAGTAGGAAAACAGATTGTATAGAGTAATAAATGATCTCAAAGCATATGGTTGACTTGGTCCCAGAAAATTCAGTCCTATATCTATGTCCTCTGGTGCTTTATCAGTTTGGCAAAATCCTGTATGCCAATTCTTACTGTTGTTTCCTGGGTTTGAGAGAGAGAGGTCCTATCTAGAAAATCATTGCCTGTAACCAATGTCTCAAAGTGCTCGCCCTGTCTTTTTTCTAGTAATTTCTCAATTTCAATTCTTACATCTTTGATGTATTTTGAATTGGATATATAAACAAGAAAATATATTGGCGAGGGTGAAAGAATTTTTTGAAATATTTTATTTATTGTTTTTATGTTATGTGTATGCGTGTATTGTCTGCATGTAGATAAGTGCACCCGTGTTGTGCAATGCCCACGGAAGACAGAAAAGGCTGTTGGAAATTTTCACAAGCTGTTAGTGGGAAGTAGGAAGGTAAATTTATTCTCCTCTTGTAGAACAGTATAGAGGTTTAGTAAAAAGCTAAAAATTGGACTGGAGTTATACTCACTTGTACAGTGCTTACCTAGTATGTACAAGGTCCTGGGTTACATAGTAAGCACCGAGCAAATAAAACAAGCAAACAGAAAGGAAATAGGGTCCTTGAATAGATATCCAAAGACACACTGGCATGCTCATGTTTATCACAGCACTCAAAAATGTGTAAGGAAAACAATAGACTCAATCATAAAGACAAAATCCTGCCATGGAGGTAGGAATGGAACTGAAAATATTCCACTGAGTGAAATAAGCCAGACATAGAAAGACAGGACTGTGTATTCTCACTCTGGTGTAGAAACTGAAAAGTACAAACCGTGGTCTCCAAGGACTCGGAAGGGTACAGGGGTAGGTGGGAAAATGGTGGTTGGATTTGATCAGTGACTATATGCATGTATGGAAATATGCCGAACCTCTTTAACATGTGCAAGGAATACATACTATCAAAGAATAAACATAATAAATGCTCCTCTAGTGAACACAAGACAATACAGTGAAATGGCCTTACTGCTAACAATGAGAGTGGTAACACAACACAACAGGTTTTCAGTGGAGGAAAATGCTGTATCAGACTGTTCATAGCTACAGAGAAGTCAACTTCAAAGTTTCAGAGGAGAGGCTGCCTTCCTTCTGGGTGCTAATGATGCCGATGATTTTCATAATTAGGAAAGGTTCCAGATCTACTCAGCCTGCAATCTACAAATGCAACAATGTGCTAGAGAGATGGCTCATTGATTAAGAGCACTGGCTGCTCTTGCAGAGGACCCAGGTTTGGTTCCCAGCACCCAAATGTTGGCTAACATCCATCCATAACTCCAGTTTCAGGGGGTTCAACACCTTCTTCTGACCTCTGTAGGTACTGCTTAACATGAATGCACTTACACACATGCAGACAATGCACTCATACATGTAGAATAAAAATAAGTAAATATAAGAAGTCTGAATGATGGCAATCAGCTTGCTACACAATTAGCTGAATATTCTAAACCCTCAGTTGAGACAATGCAGGAAAATAATTCTTTTCAAAATTTTATTGTTCATTTACACAAACACACAAACACTCTGGAGGAAATGTACAAGATCAATGATATTTTCATGCATAATAGCACAGCATATATGCTGCAGCACATGGATCCAGGAATAATTTTGACTTTCAAATCTCATTCTTTAAGAAATACACGGCAGGGGCTGGACAGATGGCTCAGTGGTTATGAGCACTGGCTGCTTTTGCAGAGGATCTGGGTTCAGTTCTCAGTACCCACATGGCAGTTAACGGCCATCCATAACTCAGTCAGGTGATCTGAAGCCCTGTTTTAGCTTCTACAGGCACTGCCTGAGTGGGTGCACTTACATCCATGCATGTAAAAAATTCATAATGCACACAAAATAAGTAACTTTAAAAAAATTTAAAAAGAGGGCTGGAGAGATGGCTCATTGGTTAAGAGCGCTGGCTGTTCTTGCAGAAGACCTTGGTTCGAATCCCAGCACCCATATGGTGGCTAACACCCATCTGTAACTCCAGTTCCAGGGGATCCAATGTCCTCTTCTGACCTCCGCAGGCACTGCAGCACATGGGTCCACTTGCATACATGTAGGCATAGCACTCATACACATTTTCTTTCCAATTGTATCTTGTGTGTTAATGACTAAACATAAAGGTCTATAATGGAAGAATTTTAAAAGATTCAGTTAATAAGCTATGTGTGATAGGCTTTAATCCCAACACTCAAGAACCAAATGT